GGGGCCCGAGAGGGAGTGAGCGGAACAGGGAACCATCCAGCGATCCCTCCCCTGTCGCCCATTCCCAGCCCCACAAACAGAGGCGAGGGTCACCCTCCCCACCCGCTAACAGCCTCTGAGGGCCCCAGCCTCCATGGATTTAAGAAGACCATTCGCAGTCATGCACCACTTTCATGTGTAGCGTAGTGAGGGGTGTTAAAAACGGTTATTCTTGTTGCCACGTGGCCGCTAAAAATGTTAGCGGTGACATGGTTATGTGCTGGCTCTCTGGCAGCGGAGCCGACAGCCAGGGCACTCGCCCCTGCCACCCCGCTCCCAGGCAGCCGGCTGCCCCCCCATGCTGCCAACTCCCAAAGCAGCAGCAGGCCAGGGAGGCAGCCAGCTCTCAGGGAGCCAGTGCGCACAGGGAGCCAGATTTTAAGCCAACTCCTGGCACGTACCGGCTCCCCCCTGCCGCCCCATTCCCAGGGAGCCGGCTGCCACCCCATGCTGCAGACTCTCATATAGAGTCAGCAGCGCAGGGTGGCAGCCAGCTCCCAGGGAGCTGGTGCGCACTGGAAGCCAGATTTTAAGCCAACTCCTGGCATGTACTGGCTCCCCCTGGCCATCCCACTCACAGGGAACCAGCTGGCACTCCCAGGCTGTACCAGAGGTGCCAGCACAGGGCAGCAGCCAGCCCCCAAGGATCTGGACTGGGAGCCGGCGTGTAACCACATGAGCTTATTGGTTACCCTGTTACCCTCTTACATCCCTACTTGTAGACAAACACTATCTCAGATTTATAACACTTAGCACTTCTCAGCCAATGCAACTCCAGTCAGCCCCTTGCATTCAAGACACAATCCCATTGTACACAGCCCCTCACAGCCCCTTTAACATTAGTGTGCAGAGATCAGAGGCGGCCTGCTGGCACCTTCAAGCCAGAATAGAGCAGGATGTGGCCCTAGTCCTGCAGAACGGCTGATGTCCTGTTCTGGTGCCCAGCTGCAGAATACTGTCTAGCATATGCAACTCCAGTCAGCCCCTTGCATTCAAGACACAATCCCATTGTACACAGCCCCTCACAGCCCCTTTAACATTAGTGTGCAGAGATCAGAGGCGGCCTGCTGGCACCTTCAAGCCAGAATAGAGCAGGATGTGGCCCTAGTCCTGCAGAACGGCTGATGTCCTGTTCTGGTGCCCAGCTGCAGAATACTGTCTAGCATGGCATTGAGAAGCCCATGTTGGTGCTCCAGCCCCCTCCCCCTTCCAACACAGCGGGGTGGAGCGCACAAAATATACCCGCCTGGACTCCCCTAGGCTCTGGTGTGCGAGGGGAATGTGAGGAGGGTCATTCTCCTCGGTGGGGGGCACATCCGGGTGGGTTTGTTTGCTTCTCACCTGTGTGCGGCCCCCGACTGATTTTTCTGGGGGTCAGCGGCCCCCCACCCTTTTCCCCCATCACACACTTTCCTGTTGGGGGGTGGTTGCTGCTGTTTTCAAAAAAGCACAAGCTCTGTTATAAAGCACCGGGGATACATGCTCTGGACAGGCGCCATATGCAGCTTTGCACCATTATTTAGCAAATCTCAGCTGAAAATACCAGTGAACTGTGGGTGTTACACCCCCCCAAATAAAGGCAGACTTCCTTCTCCTGCACCACTGACTGCTCTGTCATCAAGGTTACCCATCTCTGTTTCTGACTCCCATCAAAATAATTC